TTGAGGCAGCTAGTGACGACATTTTTATTTTGTCTTTTATGAATACTATTTTAACTGTTAGAAAGGAAAAATAATTAAAATCTAAAATTAGAGTTAGAAAGATGTTGAGATAATTATATGTCGCTCGTTTTCATTCTCTCTTTCTATATCAAAATTAATCTATATAAATCTAATGAACTATTCTTTTAAAGCAGAAGTGCTGTTTTTGATGACATGTGATATCAAATATCAAAGCCGTTATCTTATTTTTTGAAGTAGCTCATAAGTGAAATTAAAAATATACCGACGTAATTTCTATGGAAATATTTGAGTGACTTTATATAACAATACATTATCATGTAATTATATCACTACAGAAATCACTTTTATGATTAGATGTGTTTAACGGATTTGTTCATAAAAATGGTTTTTTTTCTGTAATATAATTGATATATTTATTTTAACTATTGTACGAAAGAAAAATATTATTCAAACTCTTTCGAACCTAATTGAGTATATTATGAAAAAATTTTATTGTATTTACAATCGAAACGCTTTTGTTATTATTAGAAATTAACAAATTGTCGACAATTTTTGAGTCCAAAGTAAAAAGTGATAAACTTTGATGTTCCTTGGAGCTTGAATAATAAAATTAAAAATAAATTATGATATTTAATTATACATACATTCAAGCATTTTAATATCATTTTCATATTAAAAAAAAAGTCATGATTATAGACATTATTGCTGTTAGATAATTTTTATATTCGCATTTCATCGATAAAGACAAATTATTACCCGACAATGAACATGATAATATATATCATTAGATTAATTTTCCCCTTGTAGAGTTTATCGAACGATAAAATCCAGATTTTTTTCTTGAATTTTATCAAGACAAGCACAGCTCTATAAATACTGTACGAACATCATAATGATCAGAGTTGGAACCGATTCCTAAAATTTCAAAATTATATTTGTATTTTCAAGTTTTTTTCTTACAAAACTAATCTTTATTTGTTTTTTTTTTGTTGAAATATTATGTTAGGAATTGTTATACGTACATGTTTTAGTTGAAAAAGGGCATATGACAAAAATATTCGTATAAATTCATAATTTTGTCGTAGTTTTGCAAGTTTGACGTCAAAAGTAGTTCCGGCCGGACCGAACCGGATGAAAAAAATCTGTCCGGTTCCAACTCTGTCATAATGATTATCTCGCGAATCGTATCTCTACTAATATTTTATTGAAAAAAAATAGTCGAATAGAATTCAATTGAAACAATGGAATATGATAATAATCTTTATTTTTGTAATTGTAATAACGTTTAATACACTAACACTAATCATACTGGAATATAACTACAACTAATATAATTCTACATAAATGAATAATCTATTTATCATTACAGAAAAAAAGATTTAGTCATGAAAATTAGTTCTATTTCAACTCCATTGTTGTTGTTGTGATTCTTTATAACAATCTCGTAAGAAAACAGTATGAGTACTTCCATCATCGAAAGTAAATATAACTTGTTTATTACCATCGACAAGACCAAAATCAAATGCATAGTAAGGATTAGAACCACGATGTTCTCCAGGTCGATTATCCATAGTAGCTTTAACAACTAGACGTCCGTTTGTATTTAATAGTCCAATATTGTTATAATAAGGATTATCAAAAGAACCTTCAGGATTGTAATAACAACGAGGACCATCGAAATTAAAAGCATTACGACAACTTAATTGAACAGTACATGAAGTTATTCCAGGTGGTAAATTATTAGTAAGTTTGTCCTATGTTGAACTATAAAGATCAAGTCCCATTCCTAAGTTTGAATTTGTAATAATAATATCTAACGATTCATGACCACATAGTTCGGGTCGAAATGTTAAATGTTGTAAAGTTTCTATATTTCCAAGTGCAACAGGATTAACAACGGCATAATTACCAGATGGAAGTGCGCATGTACCATGTTCCACAGCACCATGACGTCTTGTGTCAATATTATAAAGTGCTATACCATTTGAACATTGGGATGGTGGAGCACTAGAAATAATACCGCACACCATACTTTGATCATCAGTTAAAAAAGCATCATTTTCAGAAACAGGACCTTGTTTCATCCAACATGTACCACCATTATATGATGTCCATGTGAAATGTGTACATCCTTGTATAGAAGCGCATCTTCCACCACAATCTTCACCACGTATTTGAACATTTGTTAAGTCATTACCGTTAAAATCACAGCTCATAGCCCAATTTTTTCCATCTCAATTAATAGCTGATCCATAATGTATAGTCAATAGAAAAATCAATATACAAGCAAAAGCAACAGATGACGAGTCCATTTTCATATGATTTTTATCGTATTTTCTTATTCTTATATAGAGGTGACTAGCGGATGTATAAGAGAAAAATAGATCGAAAACTGTTCATGAAAGTAACCAGTGAACAAAAAAGATATTTCGAAAAGAAAAAACAAATAAGAAAGACGATCTCATAGGTGACCTTTGCGTCATGTTTATTACATGAAAAAGAATGTTTTTTTTCTATTTTTTAGGCAATGTTATCCGTCTGATATGAAAATTTTACAAGGATATGCCACCTTAGGAATGCGCACCCTCTCCTCTCCCCACTTTTTTTCTTTGCGATATAACTTTGAACTTTCACTCTTAAGACGATATTGAAAGTTATCGAAAAGATAAATATTCATCTTTCCATCATTCAAATGTTACCTGTGGATATACTTGAAGGCTAAGCTTTCCTTGTAATAATTAAAAATTTTGGTCTGTTAATGACAACTAGCTTATAGCTTTGCTGTTTCAAACATTCTACACTTAATCTATAAAGATCGTTGTTGTACTTATTATAAATTAAATTTAAATGATAGTTCAACAAGTTTTGAACCGTAGACTTAATGCTCATGATCGCCAATTTAATTTACAAATTCCAGGTAGAGATGTTGGAGTTTTCAATGGAATGCAACGTTGACCGGTTAGGATCAACGAGAGTGTGGGTTTGGTTTTGATTATCAAATATCAATTTAATACTTGACTGATTACTTTATACTTTTTTTTGTCCTGTAGCATTCCTGTAGCGTAAAATTTTGATAATAAAAATTTTATTTATAATCGATCATTTAGCGTCAGTTAACAACAAGAAAAAATATGTATTTGTTTTATTATATTAATTAATGAGATTTACAGATTTTTCAAATCAAGAAAAGTTAATAAAATGCGAGTAGAAGGATAGATAATGATATAAAGAAGCAAGCCGTATGTGTTATATCATTGACGAAAAAAAGATATCAAATAAGAATATTAATCTATATCTTCTATTTCATCAATTTTTTTTGGTTATATGAGAATTGCTGGTAGATCCTAGAACAATTTTTAATTCACCTGAAGATTTGTAATATCCTATAAAGAATTTATTAATAATAATAATATTCTATATGAAGCCTAGAAGTTATTTTGTTTCCAGCCAAATATCATATTTTCAGTTGCACGTTAAAGTCGATGCTTAATTACACTCAGTATTTCATCTTTATCTTCATATGCACGCAAAAAAACTATTAGATGATCCTTTTTTGTTTACTTGAAATTAATATTTAATAATGTTCTTTCAAAGTTCGCAATTAATTAAACAATAAAATAAGAAAAATATTTTGAATAAAGTATGATAAAAATTTATTATAATCATACAAAATGAAAAAGTATTTAATTCACTTCCGGTATTATCATTCTAGTTGTTCGCATTGTTGTCATTCTATCAACTGTATGTTTTCCAGTTAATGTAGCAATCGATGGTCCAATCTGTCGATGTCGTTGTTGTCGGCCACAATAAATAATCGATTTCATAACTAAAATTAATTCTTTTCGAAA